GCGGGATGCGCGGCAGAATTCAAATCGGGATATCTCACCTGCGCAGCTCGCCGCATGACCAACTAACGTTCAGACTCTAGTCGCACGCCAAGGTGTCAATGCTCAGCCCTCTCAACCGGCCTTGCAGTTCATTTCATTCGAGTCTATCACGCATAAGGCCACACCAGCAACTCGCCCAACCGCCCGGCGGTCCCGCTTCTCTAGCCCCGACTGCAAAACGGGCTTCAGCTCTTCAACGAAGCAAAACATCTCCCTCTCCATGCTCCGCACCACTACGCATATTCGAATGCCTGTTGAGCGGTGCAGGAGCTCTCCAGTTGCCGTGCAAACCTTCCGCATTGAGGCCACCCAACATCAGCCGCATTTCCCCATGCATGAAGCGCGCCCACATCCCACGCCGCGTTCCAATGTCACCCAAACAAGCTGCTGAACTACACACTTCATGAACCGCCAGCAAGCGCAGCCAAAGTCGAACTGGACAATCCCACTTCCCCCACTGGCCGCATGACCAACGCACTTAAAACTCTACTCGCACGCCAAGGAGTCAATGCTCAGCCTTTTCAACCGGCCTTGCAGTCCATTTCATTCGAGTCGTTCACGAGTAAAGCCTGCCAAGCAACTCTCCCCACCGCCAGAGGTTCCCGGTTCTCTAGCCCCGACTGCAAAGCGACCATCACATCCTCAACATGGCGACACCCTTCCATCCAGATGCTGCACACGTCTGAGCATATTCCAATGACTGTTGAAGAGTGCTGCAGCTCTCCAGCTGCCGTGCAAACCTTTCGAATAGAGGACAACCAGCATCAGCGGCATTTCCTCATGCACCAAGCTGGCCCATCTCCCAGGCTTTGCTCGGTTCAACGTCACCCAGCCAAGCTTGCGAAGTACGCACTTCCTGAACGGGCGGAATGCGCGGCAAAATTCAAATCGGGATATTTCACCTTCGCAACTCGCCGCATGACCAACTAACGTCCAGACTCTACTCGCACGCCAAAGTGTCAATGCTCAGCCCTCTCGGCCGGCCTTGCAGTTCATTTCATTCGAGTCTATCACGCATAAGGCCACAACAGCAACTCGCCCAGCCGCCTGAGGCTCCCCGTTCTCTAGCCCCGACTGCAAAACGGTCTTCAGCTCTTCAACGAAGCAAAACATCTCCCTCTCCATGCTCCGCACCACTACGCATATTCGAATGCCTGTTGAGCGGTGCAGCAGCTCTCCAGTTGCCGTGCAAACCTTCCGCATTCAGGCCACCCAACATCAGCCGCACCTCTCAATGCATGAAACTGCCCCACATCCCACCACTCGATCCAGTGT